TTGAGTAAACCTTTGAATTAGTGAACAAAATCTATTTCCGATTTATTCGTAAATACCGCTGACACATAGAACTAAGACGTAGGACGATGTCAAGGCTGTACACTAAAAACTGGACAATTTTCAAAAAGTAATTGAATTCATAGCTCAAGCAGAAACATAAAAACAGAAATGATTGGAAAGACACAAAATGTCAATAAAATGTATTATAAAACAATATAAGTGAAATAAAATATTAGAATAAGGTGGATATTCATTATAACCACGATATGAAAATGAGTTGGGTAGATGCGAGTTAAAAAATTAAATGCCGTGTATTGTGTATTGAATTGAAATGAATTTTTTTTTACTTAGGCGCAAGAAAATAAAATTTCGTTTATCAAAAATGTATTTTTTTATATCTACTACAGTTTTGAAATGTCTCGTCTGACCGGAGAAGAAACGGCGAAAGAAACTCCGTAGGTATCCTCTTTTGTCATTTTTGTTGAGTTATAATAGGTATCTTAAATTTTATTTTCTTGCGTCGAGGCAAGAAAATAAAATTTCGTTTAACAAATTTTTTTTTTATATCTCCTACCGTTTCGAAATGTCTCCTTTAACTGTAGAAATGCGGGTGGAAGGAAAAGGGGAGATCTCCCGCCGGGCAAGGTGTTCTACCCGGGGAGCGCCGCCACAGAAAAAACGGCGACGAAAAAAAACTCCGCAGGTATCCTCTGTTTTGTCAATTTTTTTAAGTTATATACCTTTTTATTAGTTATAATATGCTACCTATTGTTAGCTATGTTGTAGAACGCCCAGCGGCTGGCAATGGTAGCCTCTTTTCTCTGACGATGCTTCAGTTAGAGGCGAAACGCGTGTCGTATTAACGACAGTGGTGAGTTCTTGTTAGATTTAGAGGTGGCAATAATAATTGTACACGAAATTGTGGAGGGGTGCTCTTAAAAGTAAGTAGGTAATTTATTTTCACATCTTTAATAGGATATTGTAATGTTTTTGTTGTCTACAGTAGGTACTTGATATGTTTTATCGTGTTCACCTGTATTATAAACTAGCTGTCCCTCGCGACTTCGCCCGCGTGAGTTTACTGCGATTTCATGGGTTTTAATTTTATTGCGTGAAACGCTAATTCTTTTTCTAATAATAAAAATGGATTAACTTATTACTCGTTATAACATCAGTGAAAGTCCCGTCAAAATCGATCCAGCCCTTTCGGAGATTAGCCGAAATAAACAGACAGACAGATAAACAAAAATTAAAAAAACCAGCCAAGTTCGAGTCGGACTCGCGCACCGAGGGTTCCGAACAAATCCGTAGGTATACAAGTTTAAAATTATTAAAAATATTTTTATTATATGATGTAACTAAAAATTTATGCTTTTCGCAATTTTTCCTTTATCTGTGCTATAATACGTTGCTTCGTACCAAATTTTAAGATTCTGAGTTCACGGGAAGTACCCTGTAGGTTTTGATTCCCTTGCGAATGTCGAAAATTTGCGGCATAAACGGCTGTATCTTTTGATTGTGTTGGCTTAAAGTTTGATTTTTTGTATTTCAGCTTGAAACCTCCACGCGTTCCTGAGAAAAAGGGTCTTGACAGACAGACAGACGTACAACAAATTGATCCTATAAGGATTCCGGTTTTTCCTTTTGAGGTACGGAACCCTAAAAAAAAGGTTTTTTGTTATAAGTACTGTATATACTTTCATATGCATTTACTAAAAAGCCATTATTTTGACATTACAAACAGACATTTTAATTTTATATATATGTATAGATTTTAAAACTAATTATCTATGATCTGCGTAAAAAATTAAAATGATATATCCTACATAGTTTAAAAAGCATCTCCCGACCTCCATCAATTGCATGTACTATAACCGTCACCACTAATCCTAGGACCACTACACTACTCCCTTAATTTTCTGCAATTTTGCAGTCAGATAGCCATCACAGTAATGAGTGTAGTGGTGTTCCAATTAGTGGTAACAGTGATATTGCACACGATTGAGGGAGGGCGGTAAGTGCTCTTCAAACTAGTTGAGACACTTAATGTTTATTTTTATAATAAGCCAATACAAAATACTAGCTGTGCCTCACCGTTTCATCCGCGTATATCAAGCGTCTGCGCATCGCGACATGCAAACTTCGAGAGAGACATCACAATGAACGGTTGCTGAATTAACAAAGATTTAAAAGTGAAAAATGTTACTTAAATTACATGGTTAACGTAATTGGTAGTTATGCATGGTACAGGTATTGATATAGCCTTGAATACGAAGTGATTTACTTGGATATAAGGACTAATACCAAGGTACGAATAATGTGGCCTAGTTTATATATTGCATATTTTAACATGAAAGTAGTTATTGTGACATAACTGTAATATTAATAGACATATTGTATTGCAGACTTTTTTGTAAACATTGATGTCCTCTATAAAACTGTAGTACATTACTTTGCACTATTGTCAATAGTTTCCACAGCGTACGCGTAATAAGGATTTTTCGCCATTACTATTGCATATTTTAACATGAGAAAGTAGTTATTGTGACATGACTGTAATAGTTAAACATATGGTATTGTTATAACTGTAATAGTTAGACATATAGTGTATCGTGGAATTTTTGTAAATATTGATGTCTTGTATGAAACTGTAGTACATCACTGTGCTTTATTGTCAATAGTTACTACATCATCATCATCATCATCATCATTACAGCCCTTCACAAGTCCACTGCTGAACATAGGCCTCCCCCAAAGAATGCCACAAAGCACGGTCCTGAGCCACCTGCATCCATCGACTTCCTGCATGTCTTACCAGGTCGTCACTCCATCTCGCGGGGGGACGCCCTACACTTCACCTACCGGTACGAGGCTGCCACTCGAGAACCTTTCTTCCCCATCGGTTGTCGGTTCTTCGAGCTATATTGCCGGCCCATTGCCACTTCAGCTTACTAATCCGTAGTAATAGTTACTACAGCATACTCGATATAAGGATTATCTTTGGTATTTTTTCACATCTTGTGTTACATTAACCAAGTTTTCATATGGATCCCTAATATTTTTGAAAATATTCTATCACCTATTTTTTTCAGGGATAATGTAAGATTCTAATGGTGAAAGAATTTTTCAAATCGGTCCAGTAGTTTCGGAGCCTATTCATTTCAAACAAATAAATCTTTTCTCTTTATAAAATTATGAAATTAGTGTAGATATAGTGACTTCCTTGTCTTTCAACATTACTCACTGTCCAGAACAAAAATCACAATTTCAATTCAATAACTTCTGTAGATCAAATAATTCAAGTTCTTTATAGTGGGTTGTAATGACAAATTACTTCTGTATAAAGAAATATGTATACAAAAAATTGGTAAGGTACTAGAAATTCATCTTACATAATTTTACAAGATGATAATACTTAGTGAAATCACTTGATAACCAACTTTATAATGTACTAAGGTTAAAGACTCACTGCCCATGGTGCAATAAAATGGGGTAACAAGACACCTCCTGTTGCACTTTGCGCTTTCTGTCGCACTTACGGGCCTTACGGCAGAAGTCTTTAACACTAGTATAATAATTTCACATTCTTTTTCCATAATATCTATAACCACATGTTGAGATTATAAAATTATAAAATATATTATATGTGTATAATATGTAGTGTAGCTAAAATAAATTAAAATGTCAAGAAAAAAAGATTATGGTGACAAGAAAGAAGGTAACTGAGAAGATAACCAATAACTGAGAAATAGTGAAACTCCAGAAGTCCACTAATTTTAACATATGATCATCGAGTAAATTTTTGGCAGGTAAGTTTTTTAGGGCTTGCATTAATATCAGACAAACTGATTGCAGTTTGGCGAGAGAATAGTAAAAATAATGTACCGATCTATGTATGAATAAATAAAAAAGAAAAAAACTTTCCGCTAGTTCTTAAATAAGCAATACATTACTAAAGATTTATTGATCTTGACATTAAAAACAAAAAAATATTAAATGTAGATACTGTTGAAATTAATTTAAAACAAGTGACCAAGTAGCCATACTTTGAGCCCTTATAACTAGTTTACACATAAATGAATGTTGATATCCCAACGAAGATAATTTTATTTTATCTCTGGCAATGATAATAATCTATGCTTGGTTAAGTGACAATCTCTCTATTGTGAAGATATTATACTTACTTATAATTAAAAGAAGATACAATGAAATTCTTATCTTACAATCAAAGTATGACAGAAATACAAAAACAAGTAAAACTAACCATCTAAAAGGTCCAAATTCCAGAGAAGTTAGAATTCTTACATTTGGAGCTTTTTAGACTACTAGGTACACATAAAGGTCAGGGTACAGGCTGAATGTATGGGTATTATTCAGGGGGCACCAGAAATCATTGCAAGACAAATAAAGGAACATCTGAATATAGACAGCATGGCAGTACTAAAACCTCTGAGTAACAATGTGTTGAACTCAGGGGTAATACATATCTCTTTAAATGTTAATGGTATTTATGTAAATTCAAGAGTGGTAACCTACAATGGATCAAAAGTAATAGTGCATCTAAAAGTAACAATGCAGCTAACAAAACAGCTAGAGTAGGATTGGCACTAAGTGTCGTAGGGACATCATAGAGTATACCGATGCCTTTGGTCATGTTAGTTCACTGGTACATAAACTTCATTTAATAAACACACTCAGAAATGAAAATTGCAGACAGGCCATTAAAACATTCAGGACATATAAGAAATCATCATTTGAGCCATACTGCAGTTGCAAAGCACTACCAACCATTGTGTGCCATCTAGAGAACACTATCATATTATATGAGAAATACATATTCACTAACTAATTTTCATCAATAAAATGAAATTTGAAAGGACTGGGTTTATTAGACCTTGGAAGTAAGCAAGGCGAATCGATATGTATGTGATTTAGCATTTACGATTAAAAAAAGAATTTATGTCAGAATATATACTTAAAATCTAATAAGATATTCTTACCTATGATACAAAGTGTACTGCCCATTAGACATAGTCCAAGTCGCACACATACTGCCCTATTCAAACTACTAGTCACACGATGTGAAAAGTAGCTGATGGGGCAGTTCCATCGCTGATCGTTTGGCTGCTGCTCATAAGTCACTGTTGTAGGCTGATAAACTGCACTGGTCGGCATTGTAGCAGATTTATAAAAAGCTAAACAATTATAACAGATTTGTGTCACTTAACAAAAATGGAATACACCAATTCACAGACTAAAACTCATTTGTAAGTGTGTGCTTTAATGGTTGCTTTACTACAAATATAGTAAATAAATTGTAAATAATAATAAACTAAGCGCAACCCAGCGCAACCACTTCGATTCGATTCTCCCGTTCAATGCCATAGATAAATAATAGTCTTGGGTAGGCATGGGTAAAAAATATCGATATATCGATATTTTTTAATAAATATATCGATATATATCGATGATATTTTAAATCACAATATATCGACATAACGATATTTATTTTAGAGTATCCAATTCGTATCAATTTCGATATATTTTAAAATGTTGTATCGTTTCTTTCGTCTTCCTACCGTCATCACACATCGATACACATCATTCAAATGATGACGATATATCGATATTTATCACGCGATATATATCGATACTGTTTAAAAATATAGATTTGATATATATCGATATATTTTTTCCCTTTGCCCATCCCTAGTCTTGGGTAGTTCGCGAACGACCAAGGTGGGAAGAGCGCTCCTTTAGGTGCACTATGCGAACTAGTTCGTCGACAATCCCGCTCTTAGTTCTTTAATTATTTATTTTTCTGGCGTCCCCTTTATTATGGAGTCGCGCTGCATGGCTAACCAACTGATTTATTTTTTCTCTTACCGTTCTTACCAGAGTTTCTTATTAAAGTATATAATTATAGTCTATAGTTAAAGTTTTATTAGTGCACAATTCACAACAAAGAACAAATATTGCTGGCTCATAATATGAATATGAAAGTGATAGTAAACAGTACATTAATACCGTATAGTTCTCAATTCGATTTTACTGTGAGTTTATTCAAAATTAAAATTTTACTTTTCTATTTCTACTAATTTTTATAAATACTCGAATACAGTGCAACCTCAATATAACGAAACTGAATGGAATTAGAAAGTATTCGTTATTATACCGAGTAACTAGTTATAACGAGGTTTGTTATATAGAGGTTAGGTGTAACTACGATTAGTTTTAACAAGGTAAGAAAACCAAAGACGTATTAAAAAAGAAGAAAACTTGTTTATTAACCTCAACATTACGTAAATAGTCATCTGCCTGTCGTGTACTTGTCTGAACCTGTCAAGACATGATTTATTGTGGAATTAAGTGGGAATAATTAATAGGATATGTTATGTCAAGATTTCAAGTTGAAAAAATTGGTTAAATAGAGGTAAATAATACCTTCTATATATATTTGGCAATGACTAAAAAATTCGTCATAAAGATGTTTTTGATAAAATCTATTCGCAATGTAGAGTTATATTTTGCATTAGCTCTTACAGGCAGTTCTAGGGGATTTCGAAAAATTCATTAAACCGAGGAATTCGTTATATTGAAGTTTGTTATATCAAGGTTACACTGTGTTACTATGTTATATTAATTAGTGACATGTAATCTATAAATTGCAGTTGCGTTATTTTCATTAATTTAATACACTTCAAAAATATAAAAACATGTTTAGCTTCGCTTATTATATTTTATTTTAATTTCCATATCATCAAATAGTTCTTGATAAGTATCATGCATATATTATATATTATGTAGTACTAATTAAATGATTAATATTTCTTTAACGCAAATTCAATTAATTTTTATTTACTGACATTCAATAAACTCATCTTTTTTAATAAAATCTACGGAAAAATTAAAAAAGAACTAACGAACTAAATGAGCGAACTAGTTCGCTATAGGACTACGAACTAAATTGAGCGCTCCGAATAGCGACCGACTAAGCCCAAGACTAATAAATAAATAGTAGTAATATGGAGTGTAGAGTACACACTCCATATAGTAAGCTGATTTATTGTAGCACAGACACAAAACGACACAGATTTTTTTTATAACTGGCTCTTCAGCTATAGGTTCTAGCCTTTCTGAGCCTGAAGTTATAATGTATAATTACCCTACATAGTACACTGTTTCACAATATTTTGATGCGCCACATTGTGTAACCCTTGGGAGATTTGGACGGCAACTTGAGCCAGTAGATAGCTGACAGTTGCCGATCGTATCTCAAAGTGCCTAAGCAGACAGACACCTTATCTTGAGAATCACATCACCATCAGCGCACCGTTATTTCACCGTTTCCACTAATAATTCACATGCGCAGACACTTAATACACAAAATCGCACCACTTTTAAATATCAAAATCCACTTCAAACCATTATTTAAACAATAATACAAGAGTAGCAATCCTCCACCGTTCAAGTTCCCGCCAAAACCTTAACAACACAGAAGCAGAACACTACCACAGACTAATATGATTATGATGCGTACGACAAAATTTTCATTTCGCTACTTGACCACTTGTTGTTTCAATCACTTGGAACCAATCTTTTAAAACCAAGTATTCCTAAACATTTCTGTATACTGTGGTTTTGGCATAGTGACGTATGAACTTGTGGAAGTAAACGATATTGATTTGGTAAGCTACTCCTAAAATAGTAATAGGAATCTCAGCGAATAGTGAAGTGCCACCGAGATGGATCGTCTAACGTCAAGTCGTGTCTGACGAAACAGTGCTGACCACACAGTAACAGTAAATTAATGGTCCATAAATGAAGTAGAAATATATTTCGAGAAGGCTTAACAGTTGAGTGATTATTTTCCCTCAAAGTGAAACTAAGTTTTGCTGAACAACTTGAAAATAACCGCCAGCAAATTAAAGCAATATTCCTCCACTAAATGAGGGGTCGAAACCACCAGTTTTAGTGAAGAATCCACTTAGTAGGCAACACTGCTATAGACTGTAGCCATAGACTTAGAATGTAAGTCTATGAATGAAATTATTCTCTGTGACTTCATTCTTTGGGTTAGTGATGTGTATTGGTTCTGCATGCCACAAAGCACGGTCCTGAGCCACCTGCATCCATCGACTTCTTGCATGTCTTACCAGGTCGTCACTGCGATATCGTCGTATATCGATACTTATCACGCGATATATATCGACTGTTTAAAAATATAGATTCGATATATTTTTTCCCTTGCCCATCCCTATTATGTTCATTATCAAGTAAGCCCACGTGTTGTGATGGGCAACTACGGAACCCTACCTCTACATTGTGCGTGGGCCAACACGCACTTGGTCAGTATTTTTTAAATATTTTAGTTTGTCTGTCCGAGTTAATCTTCGGAATAGTTGCACCGATTGTAATAAAACTTTACAAACAAATAGAAAGTAATACCAGTAATGATCTAGACTAAATTGTATCCGAATATTAGAGATATTATTACAATTAAGTAAATAAAGCCACATTAATAGATCCTACCCGGGCGAAGCCAGAGCGGGTCGTTAGTTATAAATATTATTCTAAAATTAATGTACCCTACTTGTGTATACAATTATTTTCAAATATTTTCCCATTAATAAAAAATTTCGAACTAACCGCAAAATAATATAACGCTGTACTGTGTATGTTGACGGTACAAATCCCATTCTTTATCCGTATGAACTGTAACTGTTGCTCGTGGCTAACTAGCATAGAATTCGCCAATGCAAGGTTTATTGTGAATCAATCAAATTAAGACAAAGTTTTTTTTTTATAGGAGAGGGGGCAAACGAGCATGCGGCTCACCTGATGGTAAGTGACTACCGCCGCCCATGAACAACTGCAACACCAGGGAGAGAATTGCAGATGCGTTGCCGGCCTTTTAAAAAGGAGTACGCTCTTTTCTTGAAGGTCCCTAAGTCGTATCGGTCCGGAAAAATCGCTGATGGTAATCGATTCCACAAGGAAGTCGTGCGAGGAAGAAAACATCTTCTAAATCGCACAGTGGTGGACCGCCAATCATCCAGATGGTGTGGATGGTATCGGGAGTTCTGCCGCGATGTGCGTTCGTGAAATTTGGCGGCTGGGATTAATCCGAACAACTCCTCAGAGCACTCCCCGAAAGAAAATATCCCGCTCTGCTGAGCACGCCAAGCTTTTTAGAGGCCAATTTGGCCTTCTCTTCCAAGTGACCACGAAACTGCACGTCACTTGATATGTCGACTCCGAGAATACCGATACTGGCTGAGGCAAGAAGGGGAGTGCCTTGAAACTGCGGACATACGACAAAGGGGTTCTTTTTAGCGGTAAACGCGCAAACTTGTGTCTTCTGAGGATTAAACTGGACTAGATTTAGTCGCCCCCAATCCGAGACTTTGTTCAGCAAAGACTCGACTTCAGACACAAGTTTGTTCCGGTACTCGGCGACGTTTTCCCGAAAAATATTGGCACGGCCGGTGTATAGAGCATCACCAGTGTTGTCATCCGCATAGCAATGAATGTTACCAGTTAGCAACATATCATTGATATGCAGAAGAAACAGCGTTGGTGATAGCACACAGCCTTGTGGAACACCAGCGTTAATAGGCTTGTAGTCAGAACATGCATCGTCTACAACGACCTTGATGCTCCGATCTGCAAAGAAGCTGGTGATCCAATTGCACAATTTCTTGGGAAGCCCATAGGAAGGGAGCTTCGAAAGAAGCGCTTTGTGCCAAACCAAAAAAAGAAGTTGTTAGCAATACAAAGTTTTGCGTACGGCACGTACGTGCAAATGTGCGAGGTCATCAGTAAAATGCGGCGCATAAGGTGCGGACCAATATGCGTTCAGCTTTAAGCTGCTATTTAATACTGGTATTCTGACAGCGTAGTCCCACTCTGGGCGAGCCGACCCATTCGTGCTAAAACCATAATATAGCTGCAGTGTCTTATCACAGTTTAAAAAGACTGTAACTATTGGGAAACTAATGTATTTATGCAGAGCAATGGCGGGGGCCTTGCGGGGCGGGGAGCTGCGCGGCCATGTGCCAGTGCACTAAGTCTGCTGTATAAACAGTTGTCGCGAGCTTGTTTTTAGTACTTATTTAACGAATTTTAAATGCAGTTTTCGAAAAATATAATATCTATAATGGTGAATTACTGTT